AAAAATCGATACAGGGCTTTAGAATATCGATACAGTATCGGGAAATGAAATATCGCGATATTTCAGTGTATCGATATTTTCTTACACCCCTAATAGATATGAGAGGGGTGCCCAAACTTTTCCCCCAAAAGGGTCAAAAATGAAAATCTGTTCGAGGGCCGTGGGACAAATGTGATGAAATAATACATGAAACCCATATACTTCTTTTTTTTTTTTTAGTTAAGTCCTTTTTTATTTTTTGTGATTACACCCACAATTAATTTATTTTCCTGTTTCTTAGCTCTTGGAGAAAGTTTGACGTACACTCTGGCAGCAAAGGCTCATGGGACATTTCATAAATAAAATCTGAGTATTTCAGTTCTTATAAAGTATGCAGATCTACATGTTTAAAGCTAATCTAAATGTATCTTGTAGTTACTTGTGTTTTATGTTTTAGTCTTACTATAATTCAAAGATAAAGTAAGCACCGTGTATCTGCTCTACAGCCTCTTTGTAGTCATTGGGTCAGTGGATTAAAGTTTCTACAAAGGGCGACAGGTTACAACCTAGCGCATTGCCTCTGTGTCCATCTTAGTTTGTTAGCTTTAATATTAGCATTCATGCTAACCATATTTTCCTCTAGTTCTCTGTGAATTTGCTCGTTTTTAGGATCGTCTGTCAGCAGGTTGTTTCCCAGGTCTCTGCTCTCAGGCTGATCTGTAGCTGCAGAAACAAACGACCCTTTGGTTTGAAATCAATAAAACGCTTTTTCTCCAAGTGTGCTACATTCATCCTGCGTGAGTCTAAACTGTAAAATCATTAAGGCTCAGGTCTTTATGGATCCTGTGTCCTGTTGTTTTGTCTTTTCTCACTGAAAACAAATTACTAAAACAGTTTGTTCAGGTTTGTTTTCAGTATATCAGAACGAATGATTATCTAACACTGTTGACCCAAATCACACACCACCACATGGAAAATAAATTTCCTTATACTTAAAGCACTGAGTAAGTGTTTTAAACCAGACCTCATGTCTTTAAATGTTTCCAGACTTCATCTTTTATATTTTCTGGGAAGGAAAACCTTTGCGCAAAGATCAGAGCTGTGTGTAAACATGGCTGTTTTGAGTTTTATCTTGTTTTTATTGTAGCTCATTGAAGAGAAGTTGGAGTTAAAAATCCAGACAGAACAATGGGGAACTGTTCCTAATTGGTTAATAATAAATAATAGAACATAAAGAGTTTTTTCCCCAAAATAAAAACAGAATTCTGCTTTAAATTTCTTATGATTTTTTTTTTTTTTTTTTTTTGCGTCTCGTTTTATGTTAACTTTTAGGGGAACATTATTTTGCAAGCTCTGTTTTGTGATTTGCTCAGATAAATGGTGAAGTAGTTAACCTGTCGTCTCATTAAGTGCAGGTGTGTGTGAGTATTTCAGCTCGTACGTACGATRGATGTCGGAGCGTAATGAGTTCTTTGCTGCGGCATCGATCCGTCCAAAAAGGATGATTGTTTCACGTTTCTGCTGCGAGTTATAAACTGTTTCCCTCAGCTTCTGGGTCGCCTCGTTATCATAGTTTTACATTCAACAGAACGTTTTATGGAGGAAAGTTGCTCAACAGCTACTCCGAGCCGGTGGGACCTTTCAGCGAGCAGAGAGCCGAACATTTTAATGACCCTCGGTCCCTGCTGGTGTTTGTTGTGCGCTGGAGTTGGTTAATGCTCCTCTGTGCAGGAATTCGATCGCAGAGGTCAGGAAAGCAGGACTGGAGTACATTAACAATACCACCGGGGGCGGGTCGAGAGCAGAGAGACCTCTGTGAGGCCGGATCAATTCTCAGCTGGAGCGATGGGTCGCTGCTGGATGCTGCTCGGCTTGTTTCTGCTCAGTGTGTTGTGGAGAAATGAGACCCTATTGTCTGTTTTTAGGGTTGTGTACGTTTTCACAGCACAGAAGTCAGAGATGTCTCCTCCTGGCCTGGAGCTGATCTGTGTGGAGTTTATATGTTCTTCTTGTGCGTTCGTGGGTTTTCTCCTGGTGCTCTGGTTTTCTCCCACAGATCAAATACAAAAAATAAAATATCTGTCCAGGTGTGTTTGGGTTGGACCGGAGTTCTCTCCAGGTGTCCTGTCCAAGGTGTGTTTGGGTCAGATTGGGGTCCTGGCCAATGCGTCTTTAGGTCGGACCGGAGTCTTGGCAAAGTTGTCTTTGGGTCGGAATCAGGTCCTGGTAAAGTTGTCTTTGTGTCGGAATCAGGTCCTGGCCAAGGTGTCTGTGGGTCGGATCAGGGTCCTGGCCAATGCATCTTTAGGTCGGACCGGAGTCCTGGTAAAGTTGTCTTTGGGTCGGAATCAGGTCCTGGCCAAGGTGTCTTTGGGTCGGATCGGAGTCCTGGCCAATGTGTCTTTGGGTTGGACCGGAGTCCCGGTAAAGTTGTCTGTGTCGGAATCAAGTTCTGGCCAAGGTGTCATTGGGTTGGACCAGGGTCCTGTCCAAGTTGTCTTTGGGTCGGACCAGGGTCCTGTCCAAGTTGTCTTTGGGTCGGACCAGGGTCCTGTCCAAGTTGTCTTTGGGTCAGATTGGGATCCTGGCAAAGTTGTCTTTGGGTCGGACCGGGGTCCTGGCCAAGGTGTCTTTGGGTCGGACCGGGGTCCTGGCCAAGGTGTCTTTGGGTCGGACCGGGGTCCTATCTTTCCTGTAGACCTGTCTAACTAATGACTATCTTGGTAGTTGACTGATCTGCGATTATGTTGTCAAATAGTCGATTATTCAACATTTTTTTTTAGTTTTGAGGCAAATAATTAGCATCGAGGATTTTTAATAGTTTAACTGCTTGAATAATTTGAGGAATTGTTTCATCCTGAGTTCTTTTGGTCACTACCCAGAGTTCAGACCACAGCTGATGGTAGGAACACAGAAAGCTTCTCTTTGCTGCAGCTTTTTAAGATTTACTGTTTTATTTTTTCATTTTCTCATTTCACAAAAGCTTATATCTTTAAAAAGAAAGTTATGTCCAAAACAAAGAAACAACCAAGAGAATTCTTGGTGGTGAATACTTCTAACTGCTGTAGGATATTTACTGCATATAAAAACACCTTGAACTAGCATAAAGACAGTTTAACAGGATTTGATACATTTCCTGTATCTGCAGTAGAAAAGTACCAGCAGCTGTACTCTGAGGCGTCTGTCTGCTGCAGTGAAATGTTTGATTTGATGCGAGAGACACTTGATAATTGAAAATAAGGTTGCAGACAGTATCTGCAGCCCTGCTGGGTTCCTGACACACAGTCCTGGTTTTAGTGGCTCCATTAAGGATCTCAGTTCGGCTGATTGAAGCTGGTGTCCGGGTTGTGATCCGAGCCTCGCGTGTTTGAGGAGCACTTTACGTTCTGCTGGCGGCTTTTTCCTTTAAAGGTGGAGAAACGGTCTTCGGCTGTTTTTACGTCTTCCACAGAGCGAGCCTGTCAGCTGCAGGTCCAACGTCTTTACTCTAAAATGTTGTGTTCATGTTGGTGTGAAGTAAATTACTGTGTCGATACAGAAACAACAGATTTCTGTCACACACTCCAACGGTTCTCTTCCTGTCAAATTTCCAACCTCAGTTTTTTATTTATTTTATTTTTTTGTGTGTGAACGCTGAGCGAGTGTTTTTAATGCAGACTGTCGGTTGTTTCATGTTGTTGCATCAAAACCTTCAGCTTATTCTGAACATTACAACTGTTTGTTTTTCTGACTTTTATTTGACGAATAATTATTTTCCTCAAATGCTTTGAAATCATTTTTTTAACAATTCTTTGTAATCTAGCATACATGCTGTTTTTAGCTACTGTTGTCATTTTTGTCACCGTTTAGCTTGCTTTATCTTTTAGTTACTCTTCTTCTAGTTACAGTTCTGGCTAGCCTCAGCTTTTAGCTACTGTTTTGGGCTTGCTTTAGCATTTAGCTAATGTTTTGTTGGCATTAGCTTTTGGCTACTGTTAACTTTAGCTGGCCTAAGCTTTTAGCTACTACTTTGCTTGGCTTGCTTTAGCATTTAGCTAATGTATTGTTGGCTTTATCTTTTGACTATTTTGTTTGCTTTAGCTTTTGGCTATTGTTTTTCTTGGCTTTAGTGTCTGTTTAGCTGGCCTAAGCTTTTAGGTAGTACTTTGCTTGGCTTACTTTAGCATTTAGCTAATATTTTGTTGACTTTAGCTTTTGACTTTTGTTTGCTTTAGCATTTTGTTACTGTTTTGTTAGCTTAGCATTTAGCTTCTGTTCTGGTCAGCATCAACTTTTAGCTACTGTTTTTCTTGGCTTAAATTTGTAGCTGTTTTGTTGACTTTAGCCTTTAGCTATTGTTCTGTTAGTTGTAGTTTTTTAGCTACTGTTTTGCTTTGATTTAGCTTCAGTTATGCTGATTTTAGCTTTTAGTTTCTGTTCTGCTGGGGTTTGATCTTAGCAAATGCTTGGCTTTAGCTTATAGCTACTGTTCTGGGTTGCCTCAGCTTTTAGCTACTGTTTTGCTTGGCTTTCGCTTCCATTTTGCTGGGTTTAGACTTTAGCTACTTTTCTGCTGGTGGTTTTAGCATTGTGTTGCGTTTGTTCGTCTGATTTTTAGGTTTCTGTTTTAACTTCTGCCAGCTTAGTTTCAGCTTTTTTTTAAATATTTTTTTTCAACATTTCAGTCCTTTGGTTGTGAGCCACAGATTCTATATTTGAAGTTTTATTTTCTGTGTCTTTCAGTGGAGAAATGCATGAACTCCATGCAGCTGGGGACCCAGATGGTGAAGCTCCGCGGCGGCTCCAAAGGTCTGGTCCGGTTCTTCTTTCTGGACGAACACAAGTCCTGCATCCGCTGGAGGCCATCGCGCAAAAACGAGAAGGCCAGGAGTGAGTTTCCTGCAGAACGCTATGCATGTTTCCTGTGGTTCAGAGTGTCCTCTAACGTGTACCAGGAACAGGTCCAGTGGTACCAGCTGAAATATTTGTTTGACATTTTCACTCAAAAGCTGATATATTTTTTTCTTCTAGCAATTTTCCTCCCTTTGTGGTGTGATTTGTTTTATAAAAACTTGACCTTTTATTCTCCCTGCACAGATCCTTCAACAGGTGAATAAAACTGTTTCCCTGGTTGTGAATAAAAGACAGGGGGTGGGGCTGTGCGTGGGGGCACTGGCGGTCCCATGGCGGCTTAAAGGATCAGTTTCCTGTTGCTTCCCCTCCTCTGTAGTCCTGGAAATAATAAGCTCCTTAAGTCAGTTTAATTATTCATCAGTTTTAATCTGCCCAAATAGTGTTTTACACACACGCCTCAACAACACAAAACACACACACCCACACATGCCCCAACAACACAAAACACACATCTTCTCTGGCGGATCAGAACAAATGGTTTCATGTTGGACTGTGGTGGTAGTGGGGTGGTCTTTACCTCATCAGGACTTTTGGTTACCCCCTGGATTTGGATTCTACTTTATTATTCTGCTACTAATGTTTCTTCAAAACATCCATCCACATATACTCATTCACTTGTTTTAACCTCTGACTAACTATACTCTGGAACCTCTGACTAACTATACTCTGGAACCTCTGACTAACTATACTCTGGAACCTCTGACTAACTATACTCTGGAACCTCTGACTAACTATACTCTGGAACCTCTGACCGTCTTGACTCTGGAACCTCTGACCGTCTTGACTCTGGAACCTCTGACCGTCTTGACTCTGGAACCTCTGACCGTCTTGACTCTGGAACCTCTGACCGTCTTGACTCTGGAACCTCTGACCGTCTTGACTCTGGAACCTTTGACCCTCTTGACTCTGGAACCTCACTCTGGAACCTCTGACCCTCTTGACTCTGGAACCTCTGACCCTCTTGACTCTGGAACCTCTGACCGTCTTGACTCTGGAACTTCTGACCGTCTTGACATTAAATCATTGTGTTTTTAAGTACCATGGCCGTGTAATTGTAAGTAAAAATTACTTGTTTCCTCCAGCAGGGAACCACCACCCTTAACAATAAAACACACCTGTAAACAATAAAGCAGTTAATCTCCTCGGCTTTCTTTCATTTCCAGCTAAATTTCTGTCTTTGTTTCCTCAGTTTCCATCGACTCAATTCGTGAGGTCTGCGAGGGCAAAAAGTCGGAGATCTTCCAGCGGTACTCTGAGGGCTGCTTCGACCCAAACTGTTGCTTCAGCCTGTATTATGGCGAACACATGGAGTCCCTGGACCTGGTGTCCGGCACCGGAGAGGAGGCCCGGACCTGGATCACTGGACTCAAGTACCTGATGGCAGGAATCAGCGATGAGGACAGTCTGGCAAAGAGGCAGCGCACTCGAGACCAATATCCTTTACGAGGCCTATGAGGACAGCTCGCTGAAAGACCTGCTTCAGATTTTAAAAATTAACATCCTGAATTTTCCTTAACCCCGCCCCCTTTTTTTAACGTGGCTGAAACAGACGTTCACCGAGGCCGATAAGAACGGCGACGGCAGCCTGAGCATCAGCGAGGTTCTTCAGCTTCTGCACAAACTCAACGTGAACCTGCCTCGACAGAAGGTCAAACAGATGTTCAAGGTAGAGTTTCTGCACAATCAGTTTATTAGACTCATACCAAATCTGTTTTTATTATTTGGTGGTGTCATTTAATTATATGGAGGAGAGGAACTTCCTGAACCAGATAATGAAGTGTTTTTATTCTGAACAGTTGGGTTTGTATCCAGACTTCCTGTACATTATGCAGGTACAGTGGATTACTGAATGCATTTTGAAGCGTGTCGCTCTCTGTTTTCAGAGTGACTTTGAGCCTCGGCCCTGAGATGGTGAACACAGCGGTACAGAAATAGTTTAGTTCCTGCAGCCATCGCTGAGCTGAATAAAATGTATCAGCGCCGTGACAGCTGAAGTTTTATTCCAAACGCTACAGTTTGGGTTTTTATACTTGCTGTTATTCTGACAGGATTATYGAGGAAGTTTGTCACCAGGCCTTTAAATAACCTTTTTGTATATTGATGTTACGACGCTGCATCAGGTTTGTTTTTGGAGCTGAATTTTTGCACACGATAAATCAGCTGTTTTAAGCGTCACCCTCCTTTTTTGAAGTGATTGCTCTAACTCGACTCAAAAAAATAAAGTCCTCAGACTGGAAAATAAAAAAAGCTTAAAACAATTGTGGCAGTCACTTCAATTCTACAAATTTGTCTATATTAACTAGATTTAAAACATTAGAAAATCACTTTTCATCTCTGGAAAAGACCACAATTAAATTAAAGCATTTTTCTAGAATTTAAAACGGTTGTCATATTTGGACTAAATGTCATGTTCCTGAACCCTGCTAACAAACAGTAACCGAGCTCATCCTGGTATTTCCTGCATGTAAACAGTGTTTTAACACGTCCTCCTATAAACACTGAAAAGTACTACGAGTACGACTGACTAAATGTGAAATAAGTACTACAGAAATACTATTAAAAATAAGAGACAGTGAATTAATGTTTAAATTTACGACTTGTAAGTGGGAAATTCCCATGTCCCAGTATAACTGGGCTGCAGCAAAAGTAGTCGGCGAAAATGTAACAAACTATAGATTTTACACGGCTACATTTGAACCCTGTGTAGCTCCATCTAGTGGTGGGATATCATTTTGTAGGTAAAATAATCAACATGCATTATGGGAGATGTGGTTTACGGTCAGTGCTTGCTTCAAAGCAGCTTGTTATTTTTGCGGACCAGATGAAATGCTGTGGTGGGCCACATTTGGCCTGCGGTCCTTCAGTTTGACACGTTATTTAAAGCATCTTGACAAATTCTGTAATTTTCCCCATTTTGCCAAAAAATTCTTTAAGCTCAATTGTTTCATAATTTATTATTTTCTAACACTGGCAGAGGCCTAGGTGGTTTGACGGTCAGTACTGTGTTGTAATCCTGAGGCCGCAGGTTTGAGCCCAGGTTACATCAGGATTGGTTTGTGGTGACCCCTTATGATGGCAGAGTTGATCTTTTCTCTTGATTTCTCAATAAAAGGTGCAACATTTACCCAAAAAGAGTTGTGGTGCTGTTCTGAGCTGGGTCAGATGTATCATGAGAGGACTTCTGGGGTCACATGAATCTGCTGTAAGCACCTGCTTGTTGCTGATCAGCGCTGGCACCGTGACTGCTGCAGATGTTGGCTAACGGGCGGCTCAGCTCCTGACCCAACAGGGATTAATGTGTTAAACGTGTTGGCTTAGCCTCCTTTCTGCAGAGCAGCCGGCCGGCCCGCTGTAAGGTGGTCCATATGGTGCTGCTGGGACGCAGATGGCCTCTGGTGTAAAGCGGGGGTAAACACACTGATCACGCTCTGACTGCGTCTTCGGACATCAGTGAAGATTTGTGTCGGCCACTTAACCTAGTTAGGCGTAGTTACCGTCGTTCTCCGTCACGTTTCTGTCTGATCCGAGACGGGAGGAGTCGGATCGTTTGATATTTCATCACACAGCAGAATCGTTTGGTCTTTTTGTGGCGACAAATTAAAGCTCGGATGACTGGCTGGATTAAAGACCTGCGTGTTTGAAATGAGCTGCAAGCAGAGAGTTTAATCACTGCAGAAAAGTTCAGGTGTAGGTGGAAAAGGTTACGCTTTCGTCAGCATAAAAACTGGTGAATTTCTCCTCCACCGGCTGAGATAAAAGAACACGCTTTCTAATAACTTCAGTGTGGAGCTTCATGAATAATTCATCAGGATGTTGGGAACAGAAAAGGACTCGGCTGATGCTTGCTTTGTGTTTTTAAGATGTTGCTCCACTTTTGTTTTTTTTTCATATTATGGGTCTGAGATGCCTCCCAAGTGACGAATGTTTCTATAAAAAGAGAAAGATGTGCCGTTCCTCACAGATTACTGCAGATGTGGAGGGTCAAATATTCTCACCCCTGTACGCTCACACTCTCACTACTATGTAGTAAAATGTTGCTGAGAGAAGTTAATTTAAAAACACGAGCTTCATCAACAGTTTTAGCTTCTATCTGCTGCTCTCGGATCACGCCGAGCGGCTCGGAGGCCAAACTCCAGCTGGTTTGGACGTCATCGGGCTGCAGTCGGCGCTGTGCAGCATATGGAGGCCATTATGGTCAAACTGAAGCAAAGATTACACGGGTCACGGTGTGACCCTGTGCTTTTTTATTAATCTCATTTTAGCTCTAATTTTCAAGGTATTGCTCATTGCCTCAAGTTATTTCTCTAATCTACTCACTTGTAGTTTGTGACACATGAAAACATCTTAATTGCTTAAAAAATGTTTTACATTTTTAACGTAAGCACGTCGCTATTTTGTTACAATTTATTTAATTTTAATAATTTAATTTGATACAATTTCAGTGATGCTTTACAGTTGAGACTAAAGCACAAAGTTGGAGAAGGGGGTCTCTGCAGTACGTGTTGTCCTGTGGGCAGAGACGGACTAAAATCGTGATTGGCGGAGGCCTTGATGTGGGCGGAAACGGCCCAGGAGATGTGATTGGTCGGATTGACGGAGGGGTTTGAGGCTGGAGGCAGCGGGGAGCAGCTTGGTCGAGTCAGGCAGGAAGCGACATGTTTCTTTAAGATTAATTTTAGTTATAACTTGAGAAAGGAAAGTGCTAGCTGCAGGAAATTTGAACGTCGTACATGTGAAGAGATGTGTAACAATAATATGGTTCGGTCAAAACATCCCTAACCAGCCTGTAAAAATCCATGTCTTTTTACAGGCTGGTTAGGGATGGTTTGACCGAACCATATTATTGTTACACATCTCTTCACACGTACGACGTTCAAATTTCGTTTTGCTACTCCCCGCTTCCTCCAGTCTCTTCAAATCCCGTCGTCAATCCAACCAGTCATGGCTCTTAGGCCGTCTCCGCCCACATTAAGACCTCCGCCAATCACGATTTGGGCCGTCTCCGCCCACATTAAGACCTCCGCCAATCACGATTTGGGCCGTCTCCGCCCACAGGACATGTTCTGCAGAGACTTGCAAAGTTGAGACTAAAAAGCTATAATGAGACAACAAATTTATATTTTGTATTATATGAGTTGAAACAATCAAATGTGATGTTAGTAATACTGTATATACTGTATTAATATATATGGTGTTAGCTCCAGAGCTAATTTACTAATTCATATGTGGGGTTAGCTTCCAAGCTAATAATATTAGCTGGAGAGCTAACTTCATACATACATTGCTGATATTATTATTAGTATTAGTAATAATATGTGTGTATATGTTAGAGATCGACCGATACAGGTTTTTTTTTTTAACATCAGTCTAACCGATACGCTGAAACGTGCAGCCGATATTTTTTGGCCGATTCTTGAAGCCGATACTACTTTTTCTTCCTCCATTAACATGATAAAAATAAGAATGTTAACAAATGTTACACAGGTCTCAATTTAAAACAAAACAAACAAAAAAAACCCATTTAATAACTAAGCCTTGTCTGATGCAGGCTGTATTAAGTGCTACCACACAGGATTTCTTCTTTTAAAAAAATTAAAAATAAATAAATTCATTATTTATTTTATCTAGTGCTAAATATTCTGTTCTTATTTGTATATTAATAAGAATAATATTTTTTACATAAAATGACTATTTTTTAATATCCCAGCATTTTTGATGCAAAAACAGCAACAAGCCTAAATAAAACTGTCAGAGCAACACAAAGAAAAAGAAGAGACACACACACATCTTGCTATCTTTGTGAGGACTTCACACACACAGCGCTCACAGCATCTCTGCCTCAGTCTGCTGCTCCCGTTTTTAACACCAGGCAAAAAATGCATTTAAACCAGCTGACGTTAACTTTAGATCACAGTTTGAAATGTACACCGAAGAGAACCAGCATCACCACTGTGGTCCCAGTAAACGTGATGTGAGCAGTGTCTGGTACACATGATGGTGGACGGCTGCGCTCACTAAAACGTTCAGCGAGAAAAGACCGAAAGCTTTTTTTATTTTAATCCAGCAGGGAGAACAATGGAGGTGTTTTTCTATGCCTCATGTGAGCAGCTCCAGCATTTTTAAAAAGAAAAACAACACAGACACGCTGATTACAGTGTGGTGTGAAGGTGAAAGTGAAACATGTCGCAGCGCTCCCGTCTGGAAAAGAAACTTAAACACAGCTGTTCTCTCTTCCTTCATATTCCAACACAGAGGGTAGAAACAGCTAAATTAGACAGTTAAAACACATTTATAGTTCATAACTCACCCTTGTTGTTGTTAGCACTCTGTCTCACAACATTAGCTGCTGCGCTCTCCCCGGGGGAAGGGGCGGACACATGCGCTTGCGTGACCCAAAGAACGGATCGGCCGAACGGACAGCGTATCGGCCGATACCGATACAAGGAAAAAACGCAAATCGGCCAAAAATATCGGCGGCCGATGTATGGGTCGACTCCTAGTATATGTTGTTAGCTCCAGAGCTAATAGTATTAACTTGGAGGCTAACTTATATAAATTACTAATACATGCTGTTAGCTCCTGTTCTAATAATAATAGCTAAGGAGCCAATGCTACAGAGTAATAAACATGCTATCCCAAGCTAATAACATTAGCTCTGGAGCTATTGATGTTTGTATTAGCTCAGGAGCTAACACGATATCCAAAAAGCTAACTGTGAGGTTTTCCTTCGATGAAGCATCTTTTGTTTATCATTTCTACATACCTTCTGTTAAATCGCTCCAGTTCCATTTAAAAAGGCTCAACATCAGAAATTGTCCATAATTAACATTCAAGCTGGAGTTGCTGGAGAGTATCTTGTCATCATGTATCCAGAATGTTTTGTGTGATTAAAGGGCAACATTTATTTTTATTTTTTTACAGTAATTGTACCGTCTTGTTTATAGCTGAAGTAAATGTTTATCAGATGTTTAATGTTACAGTGAGATCTCTTTACTGCCTGTGATTAAAACCTGAGGGTGAAGAAGCTTAAATAAGTGATTAAATCTAACGTCTAAATGTTTCCCTGTGTTGTGTGCAGGAGGCAGACACAGACGACAACCAGGGAACTCTGGGCTTCGAGGAGTTCTGCTCGTTCTACAAGATGATGTCGACCCGCAGGGACCTGTACCTCCTCATGCTCACCTACAGCAACCACAAAGACCACCTCGACACGGACGACCTCACCCGCTTCCTGGAGCACGAGCAAAAGGTTCGCCTGTCCGAGCAGCACCTTTTGTTAATTAGTCCGATACTCTTCTTTTCATGTGGTGGCGAGGCGCAGAACGTGACGTTCCTGCTGAGGTGCCACCTTTTAGAACCCCCCTTGTTATCACCAGAAGCAGATCTGAGCGTTTCCTGGCCCGCGGCCACGTCTGGCCTTTCAGGAGGTCGATGGAAAATCAGAATAAATCATTCTGCTCACAAATCAAAATACTCTTATTTTGAAATCAGATTATATTTAAAGTTGTTTAAATAATGATGCTGTTTTTCTGTCAGTTATCAAAAATGTTTAAATTAATGTTTTAGCTTATTTTAGTTAAATTTTCAGGGTCATTTCTTTTATTTTGTAAACCTCTCAAACACATCACATCAGTAGATAAACTTTTTAAAATGTCAGTTATTAAGATGGCACAAATTATTAAACATGAATAAAAGCTTTATTTCTCTGTCTACCCTCACCAGTTAATAAAAAACATAATTTAAAGCTATTTGTAGAATTTTAATTTGGCAGAAATGAGTTTTAACTGGTCAGTCCAGCCCGCCGCTCCTCGTGTGACCCTTCAGGGAAAAATAACTTTTTCTTTTGGTTTAAAATCTAAAAAGCTAATTTAAACCCCTCATCAGCTCCTGCAGAGACGGGATTTATAAGTCCTTGTTGGTTTGTGCTGCTGTAATTCAGTGGGTTGAAGATTTAATTCAGGTGGGAAACAAAAACAAGACGCAGTTATTTTTGTCTCTTTGGTTTGAAATGTGTTTTTAGTATTTCAGTAATAAAACTGTTGGCTGGTTTTACACCAAACCTGGATGTTTTAATGAGAATAATCTTCACAGAGGGATTTAAATCCACCTGGATTATTTCTGTCTGTAAAAGATTGAGTTTGATTTGTTTCCAAGATCCTGCAGATGTTTGTTTTTATCAGGGTTGGATGAATATAAAGGTGTTTACCTGACAGGTGTTCTGGTAACAGTTTGTTTCTTCCTGCAGCAGAAAACTGGATTAAAATCTCTGAGCTGGAGGTGGATTCACTAAAATCTGATAAGATTTGAATAATGTGGGAAATAAACAGTAAAGTTTTAGTTGCGACACTACTGCACCTTTTTTTGTCTCCATTCAATTCAAGTTTGATAACTGAAAGCTCTGCCTCCTATTTTACTTTAGCAACTCCAGGAACCACAAGTAAACCTGCAGTCTGAGAGCGAAGTGCTCTGTTAAGGGCTCGACACACGGGCAGCGACAAACTACAGCGATTAACGGCTGTCATCGCAGCCAGGGTGAAACCCGACACACGGGACGCGATAGCGATCGCAGCGTTGCGAATCGCGCTCTCAGGTCGCTTGTCTTCATGAAATTTGATTGGTTCTTGACTCTGAAGGGGGTGTGCATTACGGACGTGTAAACTAAACCAAACCTTGCGATGCTAATGATATTGAAAAACACGCACATCAAGATACAGTTTTATGAGGAAAAACTTACCATAAACTTCACCCTGGTGCCAATAAATTCCCACAAAGCTTTTTAGTAATCACTTGGTGAAAGTGTTAGCTAACAGCAGTGTGTAGCATACTCTCCTCTCATTGGTCAGCCAATGAAACCCTCGCTGATTGGTTGTACGATAAGGGGCTCGACACACGGGAGGCGTCATCGCTCGCTCTCCATTCATTTCCTATGGAGCCTGTGCGGCGAGGCGACAATCGCTCGCCCTCCTCCAGCTAAGTGACCGGCGAAAATAGTGCATGTMKAATTTCGCGCTCGTACACGTAGACGTGCACACGCGAGCTTGCGACGCGACATATGAAAGTTGAAAAATGTTCAACTTTTGTCGCTGTCGGTTAGTGTACAACCAATCAGCGAGGGTTTCATTGGCTGACCAATGAGAGGAGAGTATGCTACACACTGCAGTTAGCTAACACTTTCACCAAGTGATTACTAAAAAGCTTTGTGGGAATTTATTGGCACCAGGGTGAAGTTTATGGTAAGTTTTTCCTCATAAAACTGTATCTAGATGTGTGTTTGTTTTTCAATATCATTAGCATCGCAAGATTTGTTTAGTTTACACGTCTGTAATGCACACCCCCCTTCAGAGTCAAGAACCAATCAAATTTCGTGAAAACAAGCGACCTGAGAGCGCGATTCGCAACGCTGCGATCGCTTCCCGTGTGTCGGGTTTCACCCTGGCTGCGATGACAGCCGTTAATCGCTGTAGTTTGTCGCTCCACGTGTGTCGAGCCCTTAAGCGACAGCGACAAAAGTCGAACATTTTTCAACTTTCATGTGTCGCGTCGCAAGCTCGCGTGTGCACGTCTACGTGTACGAACGTGAAATTTCACATGCACTATTTTCGCCGGTCGCTTAGCTGGAGGAGGGCAAGCGATTGTCGCCTCACCGCACAGGCTCCATAGGAAATGAATGGAGAGCGAGCGACGTCGCCTCCCGTGTGTCGAGCCCTTTAGGAAAGTATGGAACAATAAGATGTTTAATATATGATGGAGCTTGGTTGTTAACAGCTTTGTATGTTAGGAGTAATATTTTAAATTCTGCTCTGAATTTGACAGGGAGCCAGTGGAGAGAAGCTAAAACTGGAGAAATATGATCTCTCCTTCCAACTCTCATTAAAACTCTATCAGCAGCATTTTGGATTAACTGAAGACTTCTTAGAGAGTTTTTTGGAGCCCAGATAATAAAGAATTACAGTAATCCAGTCTAGACCTGATAAATAAACGAATCAGTTTTTCCGCGTCATTTTTAGACAAAATGTTAATAATTTTAGTGAAATTACACAGGTGGAAGAAGGCGGTCCTGGTAACATTTTTAATGTAGGGGTTAATAAACATGTACTGACCAAAAATAACACCAAGGTTGTTTACATTAGAACAGGAGGCCAGATTAAAGTCGTCCAGAGGAGGTGACAGGCATCATTCAGCTGCTCGAGCAGGGAGGTCCGGACCCCCCTCTCCTCCAGATTGGACTTTCATCTTCACATAATCAACGTTAAGCTTTTATAATGTTGTCTTTTAGTGAAACGTTTGGTTTAAATCGTCACAAACTCATCGACTCAGGCAGAGGGACGTGACTGCCCTCATTTATTGATGATCTGATAGATCGAAACGTGTCTGAAGAGCAGCTGCAGCCGAGTTTTACTGTAAACATGAAGAGAACAGGAACATGTACGCTCCTCACGTCTCTGTGTGATTTCCTCTAAAGTAGGTTTTGTTTTTTAACCTGTGTTCTCCCTCTGCAGATGACCAAAGTGAGCAAGGATCACTGCCTGGAGATCATCAACAAGTTTGAGCCGTGCTCCGAGAACCAGAAGCAGGAGGTTTTAGGAATAGACGGTGGGTTCTTTTGAAACACTTTTATTTTGATAATCTGCTCGCTGGCGTTGGTGATCTTTTCTTTAGTCACCTCTCTGATTTTAGGAATTTTCCTTTCCAGGTTTTACAAACTACATGCGCAGTCCAGCTGGGGACATCTTCAACCCGGAGTTCTACAGCGTGAACCAGGACATGACCCAGCCGCTGTGCAACTACTTCATCGCCTCGTCGCACAACACGTACCTGATGGGCGACCAGCTGATGTCGCAGTCCAGGGTGGACATGTACGCCTGGGTGCTGCAGGCCGGCTGCCGCTGCGTGGAAGGTGAGGGCGCGCTCAGATTCCGGCCGATCGTCCCAAATGTTAACTGCCTCACGCGTTTTCTCCCTGGATTCTCGCAGTGGACTGTTGGGACGGTCAGGACGGCGAGCCCATCGTTCACCACGGCTACACCCTCACCTCCAAGATCCTCTTCAAGGACGTGATCGAGACCATCAACAAGTACGCCTTCATCAAGAACGAGTACGTCTAAAACACTCTTTTATCTGCTGACAGACGGTGTTTCATCGTGTTTTCAGCAGCGGCGCCTGACAAACCGTGACGTCTGCGTGGTTTAATCGGCGTGGCGTTTAAGCATGTGAACGCTTTCAGTAAATATCGCAGCGTCGCCTGCGTGACGGAGTGAAGGAAAAAAGGAGGGAAGAGACTTTCACAGTGTTTTTAAACAGTTTTCAAAATTGATTCTCTCTGGTTTGGTTGCAGAAAGCTTCCCTGATTGGTTGATAACATCTCTGGTGAGATAAATATTTTCTTGCAGTTATTGATTGAAAATGCGAGCACTTTGCTTCTGGCGTCGGTCCACTTTGAAACTGTTAAAGGTTGTAATTGTAATTTGAAGAGTTAGAAAAGGAATGAGGAACTGTCTTGTCTATTTCCTTTTTTTTCTTAGTCATATTTAAATAAATTGGGTTAGATTTGATTATATTTCAGTCTAAATAATCCCTTCAGTTGATTAAACGCATTAAAACACATTATTAAGACCTGAAACCATTAAAATAACTCTTAAAAAACAAACCCGAAGGCAGAAATTGTTGATTTGATGCTTGGTTTGTTGCTCGTTCTGCCCGGTGGTCACCGTGTTACACCTGGGCATTTACTGATGCAATTACAGATGCAACAATAAAACATTCTTTAATTTGAGTACTTACCGATACGAATACTAATAACTGAGTCTGGAACAGCGATGACATATTAAAAAACAACACAGCTTTAAAATAACGCAGAGGGTTTTATATTTAACGTGGTTATAAAAGCAATATCTGTACTTTTTGTTCTAATATATGTAGACGCTTTGGTAATTTTCTACAGAAGTACTCATATTTTTCACTTGAATTACATTTTTAATCGCGTTGGCCTGATTTAAAACAAGAAAAATTATCCAAAGGCAAATGTTGGAAGGAAAAATAAAAGATAAAAAAAAAACTATAAGTTTAGGACAACATTTAACACAATAAAAGCAAAAAATACTCTCCTGAAAAATTAATTAGCGTAACGCAACAACAAAATGTCAACAACTTAGATTTGTCCTGGGCAAACTGTTGGGAAAATATGAAATGCGGAATTGAAATGTTTCCCCTGGAGTGGAACACACCTGGTTTATCTCCGACAAGGAGCAACCCTGCCTTTTTTAAACTGATTCTGTCAAATATTCCTAGAATACGGACAAGGGTTTGGGATATTCAAAGGAAAATATGTTGCAGTTAAAAAGTAAAGTTTTAGATTATATTTGCATTCACCTTGAAACAAATGAGAAAGCAATCAGCCTGGCACAAGTGTCTTGAAAGCTACTGCAAGCAGTTCAGACGGTGGTGAAAAGGCACGTTTTTTTTAGTTTAGAAGTCCTTGGTTTCCTGGATAAAATGTTGGAAACAGCTGGTGAAGCTCATGAGTATTCAATATCTTGTTTGTTTATAAAATCCGACTGAACTATTCACAGCTGCAGCCCCAAAGAGAATCAGATATTACAATTCATTGTTACTTTTAATATTTATACGTCATCAGAAAGTTGTAAGTTGTGGCGTACCACAGGGATGAGTCCTCAGTCCTGTCCCTTTGTCGTCCTATTGTATCTTTCAGCAAAAACTAAACCAAACTTTTCAATAAAACCACCTAAATCCCAGCAGTAATTCCTGGATGGCAAAGAATTTACCTAAATGTAGTAAAGATTTTAAAAGTTTAAGACCATTTAAATTTAAGCGAAGCTACTCACACTTGCGTTGCGTTTTACTTTGATTACAGTAAAGCTCTTTACTCAGGTGCAGGTCAGTGAGGACCTGCTGCACCACCTCCGGTTACTGCAAAACCTGCAGTCGGACTAAAACATCACCCTGTTCTTAACTCCAGGCACTGGTTTCCTTTCAGATCCTTTTGATGTTAAAAATTTCACTTCTCAGCTTTAACGTTCAGGTTCGTTTGTCAGTCCTTAAACTTTGCCCTCAATGTAAACAGTCTACCATGTTTGGCGTTGTTTAAACATTTAGTGAACTTCCTGTTCTTAATCAGACTTTTTCTTCACTTAACATAAAGCAAAGTTCTACTTATGTTACAGCACCTCGTCTGCTGATGCAACTTGTGATGCTATTTGTGGCCGTGGTGAGACTTCTCACTATAAAACATCCTGAAATAGTTCTCACATCTGCGCGCACACACAAACACACCTTCCTGCGTTTCACTGAATTCTTCTTCAGAGGGCGATAATCCCATTGATACGCCTGCAGAGCCAAATCTCTATTTTTAGCTCCMGCTTCTTCAAGTAAAATGAAGCAGAAGCGCCGCCTTTGTGTGCATCTTCACCCTCTCTGTGTGGTTTTATGAAGACGGCGGTGGACACCATATTCCACAGATAAAGGGCTGAAACGCTGCAGCGCGATGGAGGCTGCGCTCTGCCTCAAAGAAGCAATCAGATTTACACAGGTGCTAAATAAAGACCGGTCTGTTGGAAACGATCGGAACGAAAAGCCTGAATCATTCAAATTATCCAGCCGTGTTTGGAGCACAATGCAGCGTGTTCAGTTTTCCTAACGAGGCTCAGACTCCTGATGCCACGCTTTGATTTTAAAATTCTGTTTGTCCGCACGGCAAAATTTAAATCCTCTGAATGAGCAAACGATTTAATGCATTTTACACAGAAAAACATCAATAAACTTCAGTTCTCTTGTAGAGGATGACTATGGTGTTCAGTGTGCAGGTGTGTGGAGTGTGTGCAGGTGTGTGGAGTGTGTGCAGGTGTGTGGAGTGTGTGCAGGTGTGTGGAG